GGACCAACGCTGCCAAAAAAAAAAAAGTTAGTGTACCATTTATTATTTATAAATCGGAAACAAATAAAGGACGAAAGTGCAACTAGGTGAAAGTTAGTGGACCAATAGTGCAATTTTTCCAGTGTTTTGCATATAAGAAAAAGTTACATTAATTCAATTTTCCAAAAAAAAAAGGTAATGATAATAAATAAATAAAAAAAAATGTTAAAAACACCAAAAAATATTACATCTGCGCAAATATAAGAACAATGATACACTACTACACAGTACACACGACCCTTCTCCAAAAGAAAATAATAAATAAATAAAATAAAAAAAATCAAAATTATCCATTTAAAAAAAAAAGAAATATATATATTCAATATAATGGGAGGGAAAATACATGACGTCACGTCATGACGACTCTTCCTGTCCGCTCACTCACTAGGCTCTGTTTGGCAACACGGTTTTACCTAAAGCAGTTGAAAATCGTCCTGAAAATAGAGTCCAACATCATGCTCTTCACCAGCCTCCTCTTCGCCGGAAAAACGCTCCCTCTCTTGACCTTGTACGGCGGAGAATCCGCCGCCGCCGCCGCCTGATCGCCGCCCTGTTCTTCAGCTGCAACCACCATTACTGTATTTCTGGGTTTAGTTCTGTGTTTTTTAGTGTTATGTATTTGCTATTAAAGGCTTGCTGAGTGTGTGTTTAATTTTATAATATATATATATATATAAGGACCTGGACAGCTGTCTCTTTCAGACAGTACTGTTTATAATTTAAAACGAAGTAGGAAAGAAATGGATATATATTGCTCAAACTTAGGCTGCAAGAATGCTGGAAGGTGATGGTTTGCCACGTGTCGCCATCAGAACAGCTACAGTACAGTGTGATACATAGTAACTTTCAAGAGGTGAAAAAAAAAATAAATAAATAATATGGTTAATTGTTAGTGAGATTTTGAATTTAAATTAAAATAATATTTAAAATAAAAAAATTGAAAATAATTTTATGTAAAAGTAAGAAAAAAATGATGTTTAGTGATGGTTAGTTATTTGAGTAAATGAATAGTAAATTAAGGTTGATATCATATGTACGAACGATTGATTAATATTATTTAATTATATTGACAATTTTGATGATATTAATAAAATTTGAGTTAAAGTTGAGTTCAATTTTAAATATGAATTGCGTATAAATTTAGTTTACTTATCAACAAACGCACCCTTAACATGACAATTCATGAAACATGATTTTATGGCTTTGGTTATGAAGATGCAAGTCAAAATTTTGTAATCTTTTAAACATAAATTAGTTGAAATTGTATAATTCTTTTGTCGCCAAATTGCATTACAGTTAATTTCGTATCATCAAATTTAACAAAATGACTAACGACACTTTAAAAGTGTAGTTAAATATATCTTTGTAAACATCATTAAGGATCTTGAATAAATAATTCGGTGTATACGAAATGCTTACTTGATGCGGAAGACGACATAATTAGTGATCTTGATCTTGATGATCACACGAGGCTTGATCGATTGTGAAATCTAAATTAGTTTCTCCCTCCTGACCTTCTCTTAACGTAGCAGAAAAACTGATGGGAAAAACTGCGTACCCTAATAGGAGGAGAGAGGACTAATTTATATAGGGGTGTCTTTAGATCTGGTACGTCCATCAAATATCCAGATTAATGGCTTAGATTTATTTGACTATTAAATAAGGTCTGCCCACATATTCTTACAATCTTATGACACTAATAAACTTCGCAAAAAGGCAAAAAAAAAAAAGGTGAATAACATTAATTGTGATTAAGAAAAAAAAAAATCGTTAGTCAACAGATGAAACAAAAATATGCAAATGGTTGGCAGTTGCAAGCTGAGGTTGAAATGGGTGTTGACTTTGTTTAAAAAGTGTTGAGTCAACTCCTGCGTGTGAACGGCAGATCTACCCAAATTGAAGTCTTCTGAGGAGATCCGATTAGATTAGGTGGTGATTTGGTACATATTTTCTCTTGGATTTTCTTGTTCAACAAGTAGAATTGGAGAATGTTTTTAAAAGAATGTAATTTTAGTAATTTTCTTTGTCCAAGATAGAGTTGTTAAAAGCAATGAGTAGCTCGGGGCTCGGCTTAGCTAGTTTGATAATCGAGTCAAGTTCGAGCTCCTTTAAAGCTTTATTTGTTAACGAGTCAATCTCCGATTAGTTAGCGAACCAAGTTCGGGTACGCTAGTTAAAGTTCGACAAGATGAATTTTTTATATATATAAAATTATATATAGCTCGACTCATCAATATTGATAAATAAGTCAATTGGATATTGATACAACTTGTTTAATTAACGAACTGGACTCAGCTCGTCTCGTTAAAGGCTCAAG